AAAGACGCCAACCCTAATTAAAAGCGCTCAATCCTTGTACAATAAACATCAAATCAAGTTTTCTCAAAGAAATCAGGGAACTCACCGTCGAGTCAAGTATGGTAACAGGAAGAAGATCCAAATGTGAAGGAATACGATCATAACTAGTTGGTATGCGAGTTTTCCATAGACCCATTTGCGAAGATACAGACCACGGTCGATGACAATCAGCAAAGTCATGACGATCAGCATTACTACGAACGTCAGTGGAATTCGACTAGCCTGGAAGTTTTACATACCGGTGAGTGCTTCACGAAACCTGCCGAATTAGGGAATATGCTATGTGGACTCAACGATTATCGTCCACGTTTCAACTTTTTTTTGGTCTGATAAGATCGACGATTTATGAGTACCTACATCAGAGCCTTCGCTACTTCATGTTTTAGAACGTAATTTCAAAAATAGGTAAATATTTTGGCTAATCATTCAAATATCATGTTATTAGGTTGCATTTATACTAGGCGAACTTTGAAGCATGCTGTCAGGGAGCAAGTAGCTGCACCGCTGGAGAACAGATAACAATGTTTCTAAGAAAGGACCTCGTTGATGACATTCATTTTAGCCACAGTCGAAGACAACCGGAGTTACTATGGGATATAATCGATATTCACAACTTATGTGGGAAGTCTGCTACCAATTTTCGGTATAAATGCGACCGAACTCAACTACCGCTTACCAAAATTCATACTCGTTTCACTTCTTTGTGACAGCAATTTGGAAATTAACGACCAAAAAAGTCAAGCAGAGGGAAAATTCGACCTCACGGAACCAACATCTGGCTCACCTGGATATCACCGATGACATTTCCTGATCCACCTTCACCAAAAGATGAGTAGCCGAAGGCGACGATCAGGAATGCTACGACATCCAATCCAAACATGATCGGATAGAGATCCCTAAATCTCACCACGTCACTTCTTGAAATCATAGAGAAATCGTGATCTTACCTAATATAGCGGAATTTTGGCTTGAAAAGTTGCGAAATGAACCGAGCAATAGGATTCTTTCCAGCATCCGGATCATTACGACCCGCTGCCAAGGGACTTATATCAGCACCAGCTTCAAGTCTGTTCACATCTGAACAGAAGGATACCAAAGAATTCTCAAAGGCATGTTTTGGGGAAAGCTCGTTTGAGGTGAAGAAGGCACATCAAATGTCAAAATATGTGATATTGTGCTCTCCTACCTTCAGCATTTGAGGATGGTGGGGTGATTTGAACTTTGGATGACGACGTTACACCGGGATCCGCGTCCAATTGCGTTTCGGCTACTTTTTTCGATGGTTCCTCTGATTGTGGTGTTGGAGCTGTGGCTTCATTCTTTGGTGAAACTGCCTTTTCACCATTGCTTTTTGGTTTGGCCTGACCATTGGCGACATCTCCACCTTTCTGTGTGGCTTGTTCCTGAAAAATGACTTTGCTAAAAATTATCATTGCGAAAATCCAACAAAATGGCAGCAGAAACCTCAACTGTGTTACAGCATATTATATGTTAAATACTCAATAGTAGGGTAAGCTTTCAGCTGCGATCAAAGTGATCGTTTTCAAAGTTAGCTTATGGAAATGATGCACTCATGAAACCTGGAGCTGCCACAACTTCTGACATCTAAGAATCAGGAACACCGCAAACAACGACACTTACCGAGGCCGAAGTACGAAGGCCTAATAGCCGCTGAAATTGGAATAGACACGGTAGGCCGATTTTCCGGGGAAATTTATAGTGATAATGGACAAAGTTGCAAGCAGATCACGAAGATCTCTCGCATCGACTTCTAGCCTACTGTCATTTCTCACTACCGTATCACTACCGCTGTCTACCGTATAAGCTGTTTCTAGGAACGAAAGTAAAAGAGTAATTAAGTAGAAAATAAAGAATTTGTAAAGCAATGCATTTGGAATCTTTCGCAAGCCAAGGGACAGAAATGTTTGAACTAGTCGTTAGCGAAACGAGTCGATGGGATGAGCCATGCGTTCGTTTTGACTGGCAATTGTAAGTCACTCGAAAGAATACCGTATAAGCGGTTTCCAGGAACCAAAGTAAAAGAGTAAATGAGTAGAAAAGAAAGTATTTGTAAAGCAATGCATTTGGAATCTTTCGCAAGCCAAGGGACAGAAATGTTTGAACTAGTCGTTAGCGAAACGAGTCGATGGGATGAGCCATGCGTTCGTTTTGACTGGCAATTGTAAGTCACTCGAAAGAATGTCAGGCCTGTATATTGAGTGATAGAGTCCTATAATTTACGAATGGTTTTTTTGAATTCCCCAGCACAGGATTGTTACCAACCATACGATCCGAGAAATGCAAAAGTTCAACTGTACGGAAATGTGAACCATCCTGAGACTAACAAAAAGAAATGAAAGAAAGAAAAGTGTAACCAAAATGGACAGTAATGGTGAGATTACTCGAGTAGCACATGGACTTTTAAAAATACAAACCTCCGCATAATCTTCCTGTTCAACCCCATCGGGTGCCTGATTTTGGAATGTGACAGTAAGATTAGCATCCTGAAAAATAAGAAAATCAGCAAAATTATCAAATCATTCTCTACAATTGAAACGCTTTACTACTTTTCCAATACTCTTCCGGAAAGATCACACAACATCATGAACAATCGAAAACACATATAACTAAGCAGAGAAAAAGAATGTGGACAAACAATGATAGGATGATAAAGCCGTTTTTGGGAAGCAACAAAAATCAATAGAGGCATAAAACACGGTAACGAAGCGAAAAGCAAAAAAAAGAGAAAACTCTGGATGCCTGCATACCTTCCAGAGTCCCAACTTTCTCAGCATATATCTGTGGAAGAAGAGGGCGAACAATAATGGCACGTCAAAGGCTGCGAAATTCGACTGCCGTTGTACACCCAACACCTGAACATCTCTATCAGAAACTTCATTATCCAATACTTCAATGTTAATAGGTTTCTATACTAAAATGGAAGTTCCCAATACAGGACAAAGAAAACTTTTAAAGAAGTCGCTACTAGTCTGATATCACAAAAAATTAACATCGAGCACTAACCTTCTCGACCGTCAATGGATTCGCCACCTGTTTCGACTGTGTTGAAACGCTGTTGAACTCGAAAATGGTGAACTGGCAAATGAACTTTGTCACAATCTGGAAGGGGCGATCTTTAAGGCGGCGGTAACTGAGGGTAACTAAGTCATTCAGTCCATCTTGATTGAGCAGCAATCGTTCATGAAGGGGTATAGTCTCTCCACGGTGGGTAGGGCAAAGAATGATCCTAAAGCCCCTACTACTACATAGATAGTAGCCTATGCATGGATTCCACTTTGCTTTTCTAAAGCCCCCATAACAGGTGAGTCGAGAATTCGCGCTCCCACCAAATGGGTTTCGTTTGAGAATCTCGGATTAAATTGAGTTTGGTTTAGTGAAGGAATCCGATGAGTCCGATGATGAGGAAGTGCTTCAAAAATGTAAATCCCGACTTGTTCTCTGGATTAAGAAAAAAATTTAAGAGGTTTTGGCATCGACCAATTCTCTTGGGGACAGAGCTCACGACTGGCTCCCACGAACTATGAAACAGTAAGTGAAGATGACAAAAGAAACTCGTGAGTAGAAGTTACTTACCACAAACTCCGTGTACGCAATCATTGCAACCCAGAAAAACTTGCTCGGCCGTGGATTCGATAGCGTACCCCAGAGGAACACCATTAGTGGCAAGGGTAACGTGATGAGACCTGAATGAGTTCGATAAAATCTCTTGAATAGTACAACTCTCCCATCGATCTTATCAAAAATCGGCAAAATCAGGAAAAAGTCATATATCATTAGCTCAGTCGTTACCTCCTCCACTGGCGTGGGCAAGTACGGCGAGGATGTAGCAGAGGAGATCAGTATTCGCTGCCACACAGCTGCTCAGGGCGTTCATGAGCCGAGCCATTACAGATCGCTGCTGCCAGTCACTTAACGCTGCTGATTCCATTCTGAAAACGGAACTTTTTGGAGCATCAGATGAGGTCTCTAAACTTTTAGACGTACCGCTGAATGTCTCCTTCACTTTGTACCAGTAACAGATCGGTCATATTCATCCGGTGACGAAGATCAGTTAGACGTACTGAGGTATCCGATAGTGACTAGAAATAGACCCTAGATTAGACCACGTCTGAAGCTAACTATGCCTATCAATCGATACTCATAGAAAACCAGTCGTACATCTTGCTCATTCCACTAACCCTAGCCCACCGAAATCGACAGGCAAGCCGTACCTCGCTGTATCCTTCTTTGAGCTTCTCCTTTTCCTTGCTCAGTACGTACGCCACATAACGATGTTCTCTTGACAAGCGGTTCAAATAGCTGCACAGCATATCGATACCATTCGTAGTCATTTTGAGAAGGAATTTGAACAACGATACGATTTTGGAATCTTAAAAAAGTCAATAGAAAATGAGAAAAATCAGATTTAAGAAAAAGAAATAATATTGGGAGTTCGAGCAGAGCAAACCCTATCCATACTAGCACACCACAGCAGTCCACCCGAAGACAACCCCTTTCAAGCAAGAAGATCGGCTCCAACAATGGATATAGGCCACAACGTGTCATGGGATGTCAATAAGAAACTGAGCTTGCTTCCGATAGCGATTAGTACAGTAACCTCAAACCTTAAAACTATGCTCATGCAGTCAAGGGAGAACTGGGTCAAAAATCTGCGGGACCAAAGGACAAATGGACTGCTCAACGGCCGCTCATTAGAAAATGACTTATCGATGGAGCGGTCAGATGCTCATCCCTCATAGCTAAGTAGTTCCTAATTCGTACAGGAATCTGAAACGGGTTCCTAGATAACACTGTACACCCACTAAATACACCCATTGGCGAAATTTACAATAGGCGCATTTTTATAAAGAAATAAAAAAATCAGAAACCTTTTGGTGCTTGATCTTGCGATGACGGTTGAGTAGCCTCCACTGGTGTATCCTCCGCACTCTGAAATATAGAATAGTTCAACTGATATAACTATAATAACAAATTGATCCTTAAAGAGTAATAGTAAACGGCGTAAATCAATTCCTGACAACTACTGTAAGACAATACTGACTCATAACAGAAGAGTAGTTATGAATTTCGTACAAATTCAAATACAAATTCAAAGACGAGGAATTCTCGTGGACTTACCGGGGGAGCAGACGGCCGGCCTTTCTGCATCGCTTCGATCATCCGTTCTTCACTTCCGCTAATCTTCTCCGCTTCTTTGACTTGATCTAATGTCTTGGCCAGATCGAGCTGATGTGCAGTCGCTGCATATACCAACTGAAATTCAACTGTCAGTATTGGAACGCATGTACATAATAAGGAATTGAAGAAAGAAATTAGTTATGGTACCCAGAGATCATGTTCTAGCGATTTGAAGCTGATCGGGAGAAATCTTCGGGATGGATGGGAGGACAAAGCAAAGCAAAAATAATAATCAGATATAATGTCGCGGCGATATCCGAAGACTATGGTCTTCAGATGATAGATATGTGTACTGAGGTCTGGACGGCTTCTTTCCCCATTCTACGAAATTTTGTTCTTGGAGTGACAGCAGCATGGCGTATCTACACGGGTATGTGCGCCACTTGTGCGGGCTAATCATCAGGACAGTAGGTTTCCGAGATCAACTGGATCGTTAGTTTACGCATGGAAAAAGAGACCTTCCATAAACCCTCAAAATGCCCATCGACCTAAACGACCCTGCTGGGTCCCTTTCCCAAAAAAAGCTATTATAAATTCTACTGATTCCACAGGACTTTGCAAGAACAAAACATCTTCAGTACCTGTCCCGGATCGAGTTTTTCGAACTTCGTGGCACCGGGTGTCACTTCTGGCACAAAACTCTCGACCGGTTTCACCAGTTCGTCAGTTGCCGGATCATAGTCGAACATGTAGTAGTCACCGGCCCGTTTTGCTGAAAAACCAAGACCATTGATTCCTTAGGACTAAACATGGCGCTACTAAGCTGAGCTAATCGTGCGTGTTAGTCCTGAAATATATCGTAAAACATGGATAGCAAACCGAAATAACTGAAGTAAATAGGAGCGCATAAAAGGGTGCTCTGAATTGGGGGGTGAGACGACTGATAGAGTAGAGACATTGATAGACACAGCTATGATGAGGTACATGTTGGACAGGACGATCTAAGCACTAGTGAAAACAAGTACTAGGGGATCGTCAAGAAGTACCATCAAATCTGAACCTTATGGCGACTTATGTAAAGAAGCTTCAATCGTAATGCTACGGTACTTCTGGGCGACCCCAGACTACATGAAACAGTCTATCAAAAACCATGTCACAACGGATCAGATCTACGACTACTTCAAAATAGGGCTGCACAAAGTATAGTTACACACTTAAAGCATCTAGAAAGCTTTTAAAAAATGACTCCTTCAGCTCTTTGAAGGATGTTTTGCTCGTAGCCTTCAGTTTTGTTACCGTTGCCCATTCATTCTATAAGCGTAACCGAACTCGCCTGATAGTCTCAACCAAAAGAATTTCATAAGCAAATGGCAAATCCTTCGCTAAAGAAACTCCGGAGATTGAGTAAGGTCAGCCCACTTTTATATGAGCTAAACCCCAAAAAGGACAATGAGTCTACTAAACAAATGCAGTAACATACTGTCGCTTGCCACTGCCCACGCTGAACCGTCACCCACGAGCCTTCTCCGTAATGCTAAAACCCGTGTTCGGAAAAAGGTAATGAACAGAATCCACTACAGGCCGCTTTTATCCCAAAATTAAATCAAACCTTGCCATGGCTCCGAATGAATGCAGGTGGCATGACGCTTTCCTAAACACTTCACAACTCCACAAATCTTTTTGAGTCTGGTTCATAGAGAACTGTAGGGTAAGTAGCACAACTGAACTTGCAGCGAGATGGCTGGCGATAAGCAAATTCTAACGTCTGTTAACTCATTGTCTGTAATAGAAGCGGGTCGCCATGCAATTTTTTACTTCTCAGTAAGGCAAAAAATTTGTAGCAGGCGAGAGGGAGAAATAGAGAGAGCTGAGAGAGAGGACAGGAGAAAAGAAGAGAAGATGAAAGCAATACTGAGAACCAGTGTCAAGCGTGGCGGTGAGAATTTTGCTCCAACTAATGTACCTGTTCCCACAGGAATGGTGGATTATCAGTAACTGCTCAACCCCGCATCGAGCTGTACGTGTAGGTAATAGAAGTAAAGAATAAGACATGTTTTTGTAAGACTAGTCATCCAAAGGCTAGATAGAACAATATTACTTCCCTACGAGTTTTCCTCACCGACCGCTAGACCCTGATAGGAAAGTGTTCGTCTAGATCCGTGGGACATGGTTTTTGATGGAATGAAGAAGGTGGCAGGTATGTAGCGCTAAGCTCTAAACAGAGGACATCGAACCGGGTGGTGTCGTCGCGTAGTAGTGATAAAACTCTTCCTCGTCCTCGCCATCGTCTTCACCATAGTCAACTGACACATAAATTGCTATGTACATATTTCTGATGTGAGGCTATCATATACCACCACCATAATGTCGCAGTTCAGTCAGGGATGAATTCCGGAGTAATCCAAAGTGGTTTCCTACTTGGTAATGGAATGAAAAGGATGAAATGAAGCATTAGTTTGCGTGGACCATACAACCTTTCTTCTTGGCCTAGAATGGACTACAGAAGGCCACTTAGTCACAATTTGCTTGATTGGGAGCCCATGGCTATGAAATTCGACCACGGCGTCAAGGAAAATCACTCATCATCACAACCCCTTCCCTCTCAAAACCTTCTAAACTGGGTCCCAATAGGACACTCCCGTTCCCAATTGCAATAAATTGCAATTTGATACTAGGTGAAGGTGTTTGGCTCCCAGTATTAACCATTGGGCCTTATCGGATGTTGGACGAGATGAGATATGCACACTGCCACAGAAAACATTCTATCTACGATTAGTACACCGTGTAACCTTAAAAAACATTCAGACCAATACACCATGAACACAAACTCAGACACAATTACAAATACGAACCACTTCACAAAGAAAAACAATCAAGAAAAAAGTCAAACAAAATCGAAACCCGAAACCCGTAAAGGAGCCCGAAAAATGAAATAAAAATGCTGAAAAAAGTAATATCTTGGATCAAGATATGACTGAACATACCATGAGCATAAGTCTGAGGTTCACAGATGATATCTCCTTTTTCCATTTGTTTTTTATACCTAAAAACAAACAATAACAATCCGAAATTATAAAGAATTTACAGAAACTCTGCTTCATACCTTTCTCGAATGACTTCTGTCCTCTGACGAATTTCATCAAACTTCGCTTTTTGTTGCTCATTCTGCTCTTTCATTTCTTTCTCAATTAGCTGGTTCTTCAGCACTGCTCCTCTGGAAAGTTCGAATTTACTCCAGATGCCCACTTTTTGATAACTCAGTAAGGAGCCTCTTAAACTTGGCACTAATTGAGAAAACGCAAGGAAATCTTCACCTAAAACACGGGCTGACTACAACTTAGACATCAACAACAAACCGTCTCCGACTAAGGATACCAGACTGAATCAGAATGGTATGGAACAGACTACTGAATAAAAAGGTCGAAGGATGAAGGCTTTGAGCGTTGATCAATCCCGTTTTAGTGATGCACCCCGCACCCGACTTCCATTCAGAATCTTAGTGGAGAACCAGAGGCGTATGTGGCCTACACAATGACTTGCGTGACAAGCCGACGTTCAAGTCAGTTCTAATTTCCTCCCAGACGAGTTTGGCACTAATTGGCGGACTCCGGAGGTATGGAAGGCTTGTTTGGCCTAGGCGGATCTCGATACGGAACTCGATCCCGTGACCATGAGTCTGTAGCACTGCGCCACTTGCCACCACACCACCTACGCTCTCCGCCAGAAGAAAAGCGAATCTCACAACTAACTTTACTTCTTACCTATTCGCTAGGATTATTTCCGATCGATACTCTACCATACAGTGTTGGAAGAACCACGAATGGAAGATACGAAGTTGGAACACGAGGAATCCCAAAGCAATCGCATCGAAACCAATTTGGGCTTCTTGTGGAATTACCGTACACATACGATCCAAGTCCGTCTCTGTAATGTTTTTACTCAAAAAAAAAATTCAGGGCTCCAAATTATTGTTAGGACTTACCAGCAGGGAATAATGGGTCAGCTCCTGTCACTTTACGGGCTTGTACAACTGAGTTCACACAGATAATACTGAAAAAAAAACACTACTTCTTTTATATTCAGTAAAGTTTCTTCCACATAAAAGAAAGGGATGATTACAGGCGCGGCAGATTGGAAAGTTCATGCATTAGCATAAACTGCACTAGGTAACAACCCCTACCTGAACAACTGCCGGATAGTACACCTCATCGATTCATGAATATCACTTTTATCATAGAACCACTCCAGAAACACGCATCCAACAAGCTGAAAATCGATAGCGATCAATAGGAAAGTACAGTAAACGTTTACAGTCTATTTCTGCTTACCTGTAATGCCACTTTGCAAAACATTGTGAATACAGTGTATGAGATCAAAGTTTTCCATTTTGCTAACGTGCTTTTGAAGTTATTTGTATAGGGATTCATCACGTACAAGTTGTTTCCTTGCCACAGAATCCAGAAGGTGATCATGATGTATCCTATAAAGCAAAAAGAACCGTATCCTCATGGAAGACAGTCCATGAACAAGGGAGCTATTCTAAGGAACAATCTAATGAACTAATCGAAAAAAGACGCCTCAGGCTATTCCCATTACGATTCCGGAAGATTCTATTCACTCAAGCAAAACTGAATGGTACGTTGGTGAAGGTCGAGAACAAACCAATAAGTAAATTCAGTAAAATATTCGTAAGAGAAGTGAACTCTGAATCTCATTCCTATGAGCAGTAATCGTGATGAGAGTATGGCCAAAAAAAGGATTTTGCATGATGTTAAGTTCAGTTTTATTTCAAATGGGAGCCCCAGGACGGAGTCCTCTCCCAAATCTTCAATAGAAATTCCGTTTTTGCAGAGGATTCACCCGCAGAATTGTTTTTCCGAAGAAAAATCAACAGGGTAGGCCACGGTGTGAGAAAATAATTAAAACAGTGTCTACAAAAAACGACGTTCCACATGGAGAACAAAGGCATAAACCTAGGAAGGAGCCTTACCCAGAGCGAACAGTGATGTTCCACCAATACCAGCAATCAACACCATAATCAACGTTATCCAGTGACCATAATGGAATATGCCGATTTTTATAAAGTCGACAAAACTCCTGTAAAGCAGTTGTATGAGACAAATCAATAGTAATTAGAACCTCTTAAAATGTGAATTTACCTCTGGGTAGCAATGAAATCGTAACGAGGGTTATTTGGCTTCAAATCGTAGTCATCATTGACAAAGATACTGTCATTGGCGGTGCCTTCACAGCGGAATACAGTAAGCTAAAGAAATCTTCTACAATCGATTATTAGCATTATTAGCGATACGCAAGAGTGATCAATAAGAAAATCGGATTGCCAAGGTAGGGTATTCCAGGGGAGGCAGAATCCACAGTTTCGGCCAGTAAAGACATTCGGTTGTTGGACTATCATAAAAAAGAATGTTTAGCAGACAACATTTTAAAACCCACCATTGGTAATCGCGGGAGCAATGAGACACCATTCAAGCTATTTTTAAAGAGTAAAAATTCAACAGCCAGTTTTCGAACTACTAGCGCTTTGATCCAGTTTCATGTCCCCATTCCCTTGAGCAAATCCCCTTTTTACAATAGTGGGTTATTGAAAAGTGGTATAGGGGCTGGAAGAGACTTATTGCGCTCGGGGACTCAGCCTCACTCATGGGATCAAGCAGGGCCTCGATTTGAATACTGAATATGTGACGAGCTCCGGAGACTAGGTCAGCACATATTTCCTACTGGACTTCCCTCTCCGAGTCGACCTAACACTACAAAGAGTATTTCTCTCATGAAAGGTTCAACCCAAAGGGAGAAGAGCGACAAAATCAGAAGTAACTCACCTGAGCGGAGGCAACCAAAAGCAGTATAAAGTCTGCGATAAGGTTTTCTGCTGGCCAATTAATAGCATAATTGGATAAGCCGAACCAGATGTCAAAGTTCACGTTTTTCGTCAAACTACTCGGCTCACCAAACAAATGATCCCATGGATAGGCTAAAATATTCAGGCTAATTGAAAATAAAAGTCTAAAAACTGCTGGCAACATCGTCAACTAACGTATGCAGGTATCCTCCGGTAATCCAACGTATATGATGTATTGCATAGGAAACAGTATGGCCAAGTAAATTACAAAAATGTACCAGAGTTTCCGGCAAACAGATCTGCAAATATTAAAATATCAAAAAAGAGGCAATTCGAAAAAATAGAAAAAATAAAATTATAAAAGAATGATACCTTTTATTCAACACAAATATTCCAATCCATATGCACATCACAGCACCCAACATATCCATTCTAATCCATGCATTTATGCCCATCACAATAACGCTTATCTAAATGAATTACTCTTGGGAATAAAATGATGTGATGCTCTCCATTTGTACGAGTTTTTAGCAATCTTGAAGGTAGCTGTTTTATAGAATACGCGACAATTTAGAAAGTCGATTCCTGAGAAAAGGTTTTACACCTCCTGCTAGTGCCTTATTGCCAGAAAAATCTTCACCCAATAATTATCGGCATAAAAAAAGAAATTCAAGAAAAAGAGCACATGAAAACAAAAAACAATTGAGGAAAATAATAGAGTTAAATAAAAAAATCGACTGAGTAAGTGAACTGCAAAGGACAGACTGAGAGAATGAGCCTATAGGATTACACTAGTTTATGGAACCAACCTCAAATCCAAACTTGTAAAACCCGAAGTCAACCAAGAACTTAAGCATGTCCACCATACTCCGGTCAAATTCCTCAATTTGGAATGAAGGGAAAACGCGACCCTAAAAACACATAGCAATATGTCGTGAAAAAACCCAATAAAAATATGAAAAAATAATATTATTTTCAAAACTAATGGAATAAACAAAAAATATTTGAAACAATAAAAAGATAATAATAAATAAGAGTTGAAATTTATTCAGTTGAGGGGAAAATAATGATTAAATCGTATAAGATGTAAGATTGATAGATAGGATGATAGAAGAAGACGATGTTAACGATAAAGATGGTGAAAAACTCCAAGTAAGTGTTATAGTAAATAAACAAGTACAGTAAATAAACCAACCGCTGAAGCGTCTGGCAATCCATGAACTCGACGATGGTGCCGTTGCCTATATATGACCACGGACTGAAGTGCGAGGGCGATGATCGCAACAACCAAACCCTAAAGCGGGTCTCATCGTCAACGGTCACTTCCGGACGTTAAGCAGGTATCGAATGAATCAAATCAGACTTACTCCGAGTAATTGCCACGTGTTCGACTGTTTTTCGATACCAACCCATTCTGGGAAGTGTTTCGATGAATTGCACTTCTCTCCACTGTCCAAAAAGCTCAAGTCGGGGAAGTGACTCAACTAGAATATGAGAGCTCTTTCACAAAATGTTTTGCCAAATTTGAAGGCTTGTCACATTAAAGACGATTTTTTTTTTACTTTGTTGAAGCTAAACCGGATTTAAGAAAAAGTAATAAAGTAGTTCCGTGAATGTGTACTGCAAACAAGCGAGATTCCGAAAAATACTTCTTATTTAAAATTTTTTTTAATGTTTACAAAAAAAATGAAGCTTTGCATCGTGAAAGACGTGTTTATTGCCAAAATTATCATTTCAAATGAAAAAGGAAAGAGAAGGCAGTTACCTGATAGATCATATTCAGAGCTCCAACAACACATAAAAATGAGCACATTATTACACTGAAAACACCGGTAAGGGCTGATGGTAGCAGCAAAGCCAAACTGAGCAGCAATGCCAGCGGTACATAAAGGGCACATAGCTGAAAATATGGTAAGTTCAGATTCAACGAAATAAAAGAAGCATCCATAAGGATCTTCAGTATCAGAATTCGTAAAAGCTTCATGCTACTTTATAGGTTTAACGCTGAATTACAAAATAAATTCCATCTTGAAACTATGAGTCGAGCTCCAAACTTCAAGCAGGACGGTCTAGAGCAACCCTAAACGGCCAGCCACTGCGAAACTTCACTGCCTGACCCCAGACGTCCGCCCGGATCACCCAGCTATTACCCCTAGCACGATCTACCATTTTATACTCGTCCTTTCCACTACGTCAGCATATAAGTTAACCCTTACACAAAAAAGCTGCTTATCAGCCACCCGGTACCAAAAAAATATTACTTTTGACACTGTTGTGACATATGGAAAATAGATCGAATTGAGGGGCCATAAAAGAACAGGTGTTACATCAGGTGGCACCAAGGGCTATCAAATTTGATGAGAGACAGCTGAAGCCTAGTAAAAAATAAAATCTCCCAGTGACTTGCGATTCTCTTTTTTATTGGAAAAACCGTTCAAACCTGTTGTTTACTTCTTCGAATTATAGCATTATCTGGTTACAAATCAAATTGTTTTCTCAACTAACCAATCGCGACCACCTGTGTTTTAGAGAAAATATAGAATATAGAAAATTGAAAAGTTTGTATGATCGGGCAACTTCCGAAGAAAACTCGTTCACTCAATGGATGAAGCGCAGGTGGTCCCGATGAGTCACTAATTGTATACAAAAATGAAAAACAAGTCAAACAATGAAAAGAATTAACAATAAAAAAAGACAAGAAGGCATAAACTTACGGAAAGCAACTTACATTTTTTGCAATAAATACAGCTACAATAATAAATACTATGCTTGATATATGAACTTCTGTTAATCGCCACAAGAATTCCACGCAATCGTTAATCCACCGGACCAATCTGGCGGACACAGTCGCCTCTGAATATTGGAAAAATAAAACTAAAAACGTACAATGATTATTTCAACCCCAAAACGCTTTCCAGCCCGTTCACCTCAATCTCAAGAACATGGATCTCTCTGGACTCTTAAGCCTTTGGAAAAAAGGATGTTGATGATAACGAATGTCTCGTCATCCCATCATTGCGCCTTTGTCAGGGAGAAATATTAGCCGTCACAGAAAAATTGAAACCACCATTTTTCGGGCAATGATGAATGAGCTCATCAGCTTCCTATTGCATTTTCTTTTTCTTTCTTGTTCAAAGACAAGTGAACAAGCGATGAACGGCATTCTAAGGAGCCCAGAGCCATAATTCGTTGACTCATAAACTCATTGAAATGAATGAACATTTAGTAAAAAAGGATTGGATAGCCGTTCATTGAAACGTCAACCACTGGTGTCAGTGGTTTTCGGAATGCATTTCAAAATCCCTTCCGATTACAGATGAATACACTAGCACTCGTTTGAAAACGCTAATAGCCATTGATTTTCAAACCTATAAACCTCAGAGTTTTCTTTCAAAAACAGTCTTTTGCAGGACAGTGCTACCTTTCGTTGGCTGCAATCTTTGGAACAATTAATTTACTTATTAATTTATTTATTTATTCTTGGTGTTGCACAAGGAAGACGTAAGAACCTTGACAGAACGACTTCATTCGCCATTTCACTATGTCAGCCATAGAATCGGACCTAGAGGAGTAGGTATGCCCGTGAAAGTCAAAATAATCGTAGATCGTCTAAGCAAATCACTGATCAGGACCCTGCCCAAATGAAAGTGACTGTACGATTACTTGCGTGAGTCGATTGCGTGGCGCATCCTGCCTTACAAAGTTTCATCATAAACCATTTCTGCTGGTGTAGGGAAAGAAACCCAGCTGGTAAAACAAACGCCATCAGGCTCACAATTCTGCGATTGAATTTACATACCGGCCATATTCAAACACTGCCAATCGTTGAATTGAATTCACAAAACCCATGTAAGCTTCAAACATCTAATAATTTTTTGGAAGTTCTGAACAGGCTGGTTCTGACTATTGCCGGTTCTTGGATTTTGGCCCCGTGCCGAAACCTTATTCCGATTTCAACATGATTTCGAGTAAAGGAGAAATTATAAACTTCATTCCTACGATCTTCCTCCCAGAAAACTGACAATGAATAATACAGCCTGGACATAAAACTTTTTTACAGTTTGTTCCTGCCAGGTACAAGCGATGCAGCGCACTGGAGTACATATGCTCGATGATCCCTTTAATCGGTGGCAACGCCATTTGCACGTCTGCATGGGTTGCTTGTCTAACTTTTTACATTCTTTTACCTACTTATAGAACATTCGTGCTGTATGCTCGTAATTCAACCATATGCCAGCTGACAAAAGACGTTTGACAATTTAATGCTCTCATTCATCAAGCCAAGCCGTAGCTTCATACTTACCGTCTTCAAAGATACTGCAAAAGCAAACACTGCTATTATGAAACCTAGGAAATGACATCATTCCCACAGAACTCTGATTTGAAATCTTTAAGTGGACTTCAACTCAAAGGATACGTTTTAATTCGATCCATATCAAAAAGTAGAAAGCCTACAGTCCATAGAGGCAAACGGCGAACGGTCTCACACCCATGGTCCTGGTTCGAATCCCGTATCGAGGTCCGCCCAATTCAACCAAGCCTTCTGCTCCTCCAAGCTCGGTTAATTGGTAGCAGGCTCGTCTGGGAGGATAGAAGCTACTTGTTCATTGGCTGGCCATCACAGGTCAAGGTGTAGACCACAAACGGATTAAAACCACCACTACGATTCTGAATGGGATTCGAACGCGGGGGTGCATCCCAAAATTTGGATACTCATGGCCTGAAGGCTTCAAAACTCTTTTGAAAGCCAAGAAGGCACCTTGTCTCCTATAGATACTTTTGTTTTAAATGCCACAGTTTTCGATATTACTATTAGATATTTAACTTTAATAATTTCATGAGGGGTACGATTCTGGTATCGACAGTAGAAAGTTATCAATGTATTCAGAATTTCCGCTATCTTGACTGGCTTTCCCATTTTCAGAAAAAAATATTCAAACTTATGCCAGAAAGAGTCAAAAAAAAATCTCCTCATGATCAGCCTATCACCAACATGAACATTTAGTGTACGTGAAATAATATTGCATGCCATTTTAGGTAGGTTTTCGATTTTCTCACTTGTATGACGGAATTGCTACTTATGGATATTTGACAAGAATGTATAATTTTGTTCACAACTATTTCAAACTATATTTAGGTTGAGTTACCTATTCTTTCATCACACTTGACCTCATTGATCGAATTTCCGAACATGACAAATGGGGTGGAAATCGGCAGCTGTTGTGACACGTTTCGATAGGAGGAGGGATCAAATATATGCATAGCCTTTCTATTTATATGCTACTTACATGTAAATACAATGGAAATGTACTAAAATACTCAGTGATAATCAAAGACATGGCGTACTCCACAGGAAATTAAGTGAAACCGAGCTCTGATTAAATTGAGAGTACACAAATAAAGAGTAAAAGTGGCTGGACTAGTTCAATGAAAATAATTTTTTGATTTTTTTTTGAAAAAATCCTGAACTACTTCTTACCCCATGGTTTTTTCCGTCGTCCATAACTTTCAAACGGTCTTGCAGCGATAATCGGTGTTGTCATATCATGATCAATGAAATGAAAATCATCGAATCCGGAATCGGCCGAGCTAACCGCCGACGTCCTCATCGTAAGTGGTTTAGGCGATTTCCGTACATTAAGGGGCACCTTTTGTGCTTGACTTTTTCGTCGCCTATTTTGAGCCGATTTGATCAGCTGATTAACATAGTAATCAAGAATATGCACAAATTCAGCATACATAGTGAATGAGTAAGTAGAGTTAGATAATAACGAAGTAAGTAGATAAAATAGGAATATCAGTGACGCCGATAAAACATGCGGTTGATGATAGCTATCGCATGAGCAGAGCCGGCGATTTCATGACACCTTTACAACGTCTATCCAGTGCAGAAAAATGGGGAGGAGGTGGGATCGGCCAGCAGGTCAAATAGGCAACGACAGATTTATCAAAAGCCTTTTTGCAAGTCACGAAAACAATCAGGTGTCCGAACAACTGGCGGTGATAGTCGGTCCAAGTAACCAAGCGGCTCGTTTCTATTCAGAGAAGCGGGCAGAGGTTAAGACGGACAGACAGACAGACAGACATGGTGAATCATCCATTTCCACAACGAAAACACTTGTCCATCAGTCAAGACGAGCTCATAGTAATTTGTCAACTTCACTATACTCAAAACTGACAGCACCGGGGTAACGGAAACGGGTTCAGTAGTTCTTCCTAGCAACAAGCTTTCAAACGAGCTCAGCGAACGAGCAGACAATAGCCTGCATAATTCTTCGCCATATGTCAGGAATAGAGACTACAATTTTATGAAAACCATCTTCGGGAATCAAAACAGAAGATTGAGGCCAAATTCGATCTTTCCTTTCCCCAGTTCAATTCAGAGGAAGTGAGGGGGCAGAAAGGAAGTGCGCCGCCAAAAGCCCCTAGCTTGGGATCGAATCCCGGAAAGGCTAAAAAACTTTCCTCGCCTACATAAACCGGTTCAATAGACTAATTTATGACAAATTTCTCCGAATGAGGGAGAGGAGGAGGAGAAAAATGGGGGAACTAGCAGGAGGATGATGTAAACATAGAATCTTCTATCGGTTGACCCCTACAGAGGACGATACATAAGCAGTAATTAGGCTGAAAAAGTTCATTAACTGACTATGAGAGAAAACTAACGAAGGAGGAGTGATCGAATTCATCGATTGTATCGTACGTTCAGAATACCAAACATAACGAGTCATCACTGCCCACAACGACGATGAAACTAACTGCCTGTGTTTTCAATTCATCGTCGATGTGAAACGGAATCGGACACATTGACGTATACATCGATCGGAAGCGTCATTATCAATATCGTTTCTCGGGATCAAGAGTGCTAATTATCGTCCAGATTGACAACGGTTTACAGCATAATTTTATTGATCGAAGGAAAACAAGAAAAGCTGATAACTAATCGATAACTGCCTTATCAAAATATTTAGTAGAGGAGACGTCTACTGATCACTGCGCTGGGAAACTGTGCGTCCATTACGAAATCGATCGTAAATGGGCCCCGAAATCTGAGACCGTAATGGAAACAAAGTCAGCGTTTGGAATCATTCAATGCCACCGCTTCCATCGACCTGTATCGATTGAACTGTGCTAGATACCGAGGTACACCGGAGAGTGAACTACCGTAGAGCTCCAAACGATGACCCTATTTTGAATTTTAGAATTAGGGATTCAACAAAAGATAAGAAGCAACAGAGTCATTGTGGCAAACGGAAATTTCGATGCGATTATACGGCAGTAGTGAGCGAGAAGTGCAAAGTTGACACAACTGTCTGGTCTTTGAAAGGTAATCGACAGACAGACAGTCGATAATTTGTCNGAACTACCGTAGAGCTCCAAACGATGACCCTATTTTGAATTTTAGAATTAGGGATTAAATAAAGGGAAGAAAGAACAGATTCATGATGGTAAGCGAAACTTTGATGCGATTATACGGCAGAAGTGAGCGAGAAGTGCAAAGTTGACACAACTGTCTGGTCTTTGAAAGGTAATCGACAGACAGACAGTCGATAATTTGTCGACGATAAGATTGAAACCGAGACGACAGAACGATGTGCGCTGAATCGGAACAAATGGCGCAATTTCATCGTGCAAATAGAACGACAAAGGTGGAATACGAACACATTAAAATAGCTCCCTCTCATGATGTCAAACTTTCCAGGGAAAAAACTAGTAGACGTTTCAAGGATAGACGGTTACAGGGTAGTACTTATTCCCTATACCCTCTACTATAACCGTTTAGAGCCAATAATTCCTCACCTAAGCACTTACATCAAAAGACAGTTGGGTAATACGAACGTATTCAACGATTTGTAAACAATTCTACCTGTTGAACGGAAATGGAGCAGTGGAACTTGGAAATGTCGACTGAGAAAGTCGATTTTCGCCCGATTCTCCAAAGCCTTACCAATCAGATCAGATTTCTACAGCTAGTTCTGTTTTCAAGTATGAAACTGGTTTATTTACATCAACTGTATCAACGCTTCTAAATCCCACTATGAATTTTTGAAAAAATTGTTATGGTACGCATACCAAAAAATCTGTTCAAAAATGCTCAAAAGAACGGTTCATCCTCTCTCATATCAACTCACAAGCGCCACACCAACTCCGCTCTGAGAACGACTTGTTTTCAAACTCATGGCCCATTTGCAAAAATTGGGAAATGCACCCAGAATTTGCACATTGGTCATGAGGAGCACCAACGAGGTGGAAAATGCCACTGAAATTTGTTCAGATTCTAGTCTTCAGTTGATTTGTATAGTCATTCGAAATGCTCCAATCATGGAAGAGGGATTGTTATCTGATTCGATGAAAAGAAGAAAAGGAGAAAGCTGAGCAGCTGAAGAAGCTGGGAAAGCTGAGCTGGAGCTTCGTGAAGGAAGTTTCATTAGAAAAACAGAATTCATAAAATCAATTAGATGACCTTGACGTCAGTAGGCGACGCTCAGAAGAAACTTTGCATTGTTATCGCCGTTATCAGCAAGTGTTTTTGTGTTGTAATGTTTTGTAAGATGATATGTCCACAACTATGTAGCCGGTTCCTAAGTCTCTGTAGACCCCCTTCACATAGTCGCTGCAAATGTAGCCCAAGTTCGCATCCTAAGTATACAGTTGAGCACATAACATGACTTATTTGTTGGAGTCCTCCATCTATCTACATTTGCAAATTTGAGTTCATAGTCTCAAAAGAAACAATTTGCTATCTTTGATCAGACCACAAGCACTAAGTGCCTGCAATACGCAAATCGAAAAAGTGCCTGTGATTCCTGTTCCCTCTTCAGAACACTGGATACTTTACTAAAACAGCCTGGAAAATTTTTGAGGTCTCTGTAAAATGGCTAAATGAGTCACTAGTAGCTCCAATAAATTGATATCCATGTGGAATCCAAGAAAAATACAACACTTTGCTCAAATGATTTCGAAAAAACTAAAGGTGGTCGCATAAGACGACACCGCTCTAATAGGGAAAAATTAAGGGTAATCAGTCATTGAACCCAGAAAATAGAACTCGTAACTTTGTTTGATTCGGTCAACAGCAAGAAGACCAGACACCGAATAGGTAAATATTAGCGGACCCTGAACAATCGATGAAGGAGCAATAAGTATGACGATAAACTAGCGAAATACAAAACTGGCTGGAATTTGTCTTCCATAACATTCTATTAAGCGCTCCACATACCATGAAAGGCTGCCCAAAATCCATGGCAAATGGCACTCAGGGCTATTACTCCGCTTCGCTTTTGGGCTGGTAACCATTAAGGCAAAGGTTTCTAAACTGCTCGATCTAATTGCCGGATTTACTGGATTTCTCGGTTTGCGTAAGGACAGACTGCTCTACGTAGTAGCTAAAAAATAAAAAAAAAATTGAAGCCAGGGATTGACATCTGGAGATTTGCGAAGCTCCTCCAGAAAGCTCACAGATGAGACTCACATAACAGAGTCGTTCTAAAATCTCAAAATGACTCGATTTCTTATCGGAACTGACCAAAGTATGGGATGGGTACTTCATCAGGTTGCTCCAATACTCTCACTGACGATAGAAGTAGGTACTGTGATACCACATTACCTATTTCAGCAAACATACTCCAAAATCGGGATTTCAGGTCTCAAAACTGCGGAAACGAACATGAAATAGGCCAAATAAAAGTAGATAGGCAGTAAGGAAGGCCAACACTGGTTCAACGATGATCGATGCCTTGGTTGGAGGGAACAGGCAACAGATTCGGGCCTTTGATTTCACAGTGCTTGAGCTAAGGAGGAGTATAAGCATCAAATTCCGACAGAAAAGCCAACGTTAAGAAATAAATGGAGACTAACTCAGTTCGCACCGAGTATACGTTCCAGTGACGTCTAAGAATCGGAAACAGGTTCTGTGTATCCACGATGAGAACTCAAAAAGTATGTGCTGCACCGATGCAATCTATGATGACATACATAGTTGCTATCAATATTACTCACTACTTCGAATTAACTGCTATCAAGAACTATTGGACTTTTTCACTTCAGATATAAACGATGGCAGAAAACTATTCCAGGAAAAAATCTCAAGAAATCACTAATTACAAAAAATAAGGTAGCTCAACAGGGGTATACCATCTTACTTTAAGGACTCACATTTTTACAAGTACATGTTGTGTACTTTATAGAACATTCGAAATGAGCTACGCCGCAGAATCCCCCTCTATGCACTTGAGACTAGTTTAAAAAGATTTTCGAAATAAACAAAGTTTTTCTTTGAACTCATGATCCAAAAGTGTCAGCCAGCAGTTAGTGTAGACTCTTGAAATGTTCATTTCATTGTTTGTTTATGACAGAGTAAAGAAACAAATGGAATGAATATTTCGGAACCTCACATTGTCAGTTAAGCATTTCAGGTCAAGGCTTTGAGGAGTAACAGCCCTGAGATAATTTTTATGACATAGAATTTATATATTCAAAGCGAGCGCCAATCGAATCATCGACCACACCTAATGAGCTCTCCCATTGGCTTCGGATTTGTTTTATGCCATGATTTAATGCTTCCCGGAGCTAATTGCTGTTGAGGTTTCATAGACAAAGAGTAACAAATGCGACTCAGAAAAAAGCTGCAAGACTAGCAGCTGATATTACATAGGAATGGACATACTCCACATTATAAAACTCCACAGGACTCCGTGCCTTCCTATTCCAGATAACGCAAAAAACATGATTGTAAGTAGTAATGAGTTTTAAGCAACTACCACTTCATTTGACTATTAGAGGAGTAGGCCATGCATCCTACTCTTCTGGAATTCGCCCATATAAACCAAGGGGCACTTAGCCTATACTAAAACTGAGGAATTACACCGTGAGGTTTGAATCTCATCTAATAATCTAATATCTTGTTTTTCATGTGTATTTTTGAAGCTCTTGATACTCCACTTTATTGGTTAGCTTTCGGCATATAATGCTAATCTAGTATCTAATAATAATATCTAATAATATAAATTAATATAAAAAAATCTAATATCTAATAATAAACACTACAGAAAGTGATAAAAGTTTCTGGAACCATTTCCTTTGAACGACTTAGTGGCTTTTGAAACGACACTGACCCTGAATTCATTGGGAGTTTCCCATATCGAGTGGTAAATGCACAGTCACATACCAAAACCAAGTAACGGGCCTCTTCCTGTTCGCAAATTTCCGAGAGGAAGTCGTTTCAATACTAACAAATTAAGGAAAAAAGTATTAATATTGATCAATCAGTTCTCGGAATTCACCCACGCAATCGATTCGCATCGAAACCAAGACTTGGGAGATCTTAGGTATCAGTCACTCTATAAATCAGAGCTTTCATCTTGCAAATCAAGCCCGGCACCCATCAACCGGTCCTTGCAGAATGGAAAGCCGATTGGCATAAAAAGAAATCGATGTGGGGTGCGATCTCTGGACTACACCTTTAGAAGTGCCTCCTACACGAACTACCCACTCTTAACGGATCCCTACATGAATTGAATTTTTATCTATTAATAATAACTGTACAGCTTATTAAGTTGGACTGAATATCGCTGATAAAAGGGACAACACGTGACAAGAAACGATGACCAATGGGATGATTCATCTTTGTAGCTTCTATCACCTTTCTTCCCAACGAACTACCCACTACACCGCACTCTCGGGGTAGGGTATGTAGTCTCCATTTTCAGACGAATTTTACCCTTCACATAGTAAACCGACGATCTAAAAATCAAACGCAGAGAATGGTAGTGCGTACCTTCTGCTGATGCTCGACCATGTGGACCTTGTCTAACCATTGCCAACCATGGTTCATGGAAAAATTTCAATTGCAACATGGTCAAAACGAATAACGAGATCGGAACGAATAGTCGAACAAATAATGTTCTGAAAAATAATTTATATAAAAAGTGTCCGCATTATTCAAAGGCCCCTATACATAAACAGGGCTGTCAAAGCCAAAGTAAGGCCTAGCGTACCCCGATTCGCCGACGATGTTGTAGTTGATCAGACCGATGTCGTCATTCCACTCTTTGTTTAAGCCCGTCCACTTAGTCCAAATATCAGGGAACTAAACAAGTACTTCACGTAGATCAAAGTAAAGACAAAAAAATTCAGCAAAGAGGTCAGACAGGCTTTCGAAAGCCCTCAAATTGGTAATGTCAACCAGTCAAAAACAATGCAGAATGAAGGTGGCACCAAATGATAACTCTGTTTGAATAAACCCAGAACCCTAGATGGTGTCATGAAATTCTGGGCCACTGATTGAACAGTGAGTCAGAACGTACGTAACTGTCAACAGATCCTTTGTACAAAAACAAAATTCGCCTTTTTTTATCAAAAATTTCTCAGAAAAAAGGAACTCACATCTGGGAACTGGTACACATATAACGAGATTATAACAACCGATGTGTAAACGATTAGGCTGAGCCAAAAGACGTATGCAATACGGCAGAAGAATACGAAACTGGTCTGAAATCATATATTACACTTTAAGTGATAGAGAATTTGATATGGAAATTAACAGGCTACGAAAAATCAAAAAACAAATGTAATTCTTATTTCAAAGCAATCGAAGTTGCAATAAAAAAATAAAAAGAGATAATGATGGCTTGAAGCCATTGACCAGAGGAGTAAGCCATGTATCTCACCTTGAGAAAAAAACCATTGGGTACCTCACTTATATGAAAATTTAGGCAATATATCCGTCATATTTGAATCCTATGTTTAGTTGGCCTAAGTACAATTCGATCCGGGGACATTGCAAATGGTGGCATGGCGTCGTGCCTTTACCCCTTCTTCACCCCATTACTCATCGCGAACGGGGAGGGAAAGCCTCTTTTTCATTAAAAAAAATAGGAAGCAAAGAAACCTAACTGGTTTTCGACATGAATAGTCGGCTTAGAATACTGTTAGCCCTAGAACAGCCCTACAGACAGACTTTCCCGTAAATACGCCCGAATTGATCGTATGTCAAATAAGTTTTTCTTTTCTCCCGGTAAAAGTCGTTTCCAATAATACAAATATTATCGCGGAAGTGCACTGTGTGTAAGTTCTATTCTGTTCGCTCAGATCTATTCAATGCTGTGGTAATATCCCATTCACTGAAACTTCCACGATTCTTAAAGACAGATCGCAAACAGTTCATTGGCACTGAATTTGCAGATAATAACACAAAGCCAATAGTACTTTCGGGAAAGAGGTTNACACTAATCCTCTTTAAATAATGTCGACTTCCGAAGTATCGTGGCATGATTTCGATTAGACCGGATTGCTCCAGAAGGCAGTCTATTTGTAGGAACCGAGCTTTTTTCAATTTATGTCCAAATTTTCGCGCTCTTAAAAAACGATGGAAAGTTGTACTCTGTTAATTGATAATTAGTAGCCACATTTGGTATATCAATGGAGTGGAGTTCTTTCCGCATGGAGCAGAACTTTTTGCTTGATCGCAGCATCCCAGGTCAGAGTTCGATCAGACTACGAATCCCATGTGGAAAAGTAATCAATTCCGTACCTACAAAATCGTACCCCAACAGATTTTACTAGAAACAGTGGGACTGAGAGGTGGGGTGGACGAAATCTATTTCCGGATGAAGAACAGCGAGAAAACTGAGAATCTCCACTTCTTACCCTTATAGGCCTTAAAAAACAGGAGGTTATTGAGATGATTTACAGGGCAGTGGCATGAGTTCGAAAGTATGAAAACAATTACAATAATATGTACCACCCGAAAGAAGAATAATATAAAAAGTGAAAATGAAATTGAAAGATTCCAGAAAAAAGCCTCTAGAACAAAAAAAACTATAAATGAGAACATCTCCTTTGTACAAAGGGTGAAGAGGTGAAGAGTAGTAGGTATGAAGGCTAAGACACATATGGTTCCATGACAGGAACAGGTAACCGGAACGATTGCAAAGAGAGACAGTTTTTTCTACTGGTTCTTATACAAATGTGTGGATCGCTACCAGGAAACCCAAAAACGCTGAGCACATCGAGCGTTATCATTTCGAACTGGGACGCTTATGTCTGGTCTATGTTCTCACTATAAGGGGAGTGAGTCGTCCATGCTCGAAGACGCTGACTCAGAAAAGTGGCTACGTTTCAAAAAAAACAGAAATTGAAAATACTTCAAAATGAGAGCTTATGAAGGGCTGTGGAGTGATTACAACAAAAAAAACGTACCTTGAAGTAAATAATCAACAAGCACCATATAACGAAGAACCCGATTGTATATATTACGGGATGTGATTGACAGGCGACCACAAGAAGCGCTAAGGCTACAAGGAATATCGAGCACTTAGTCAATTGCGATAGCAACCAATGTAGGAAGTTTGCTACTAGATCTGCCTGTAAATAAACAAAATAATCAGAAACAAGCCTTCAGGTAGGGTTTAGTTCTGCACAAGGAATAACTTATGGAATAACGAACCCCTAGATTTCCTCCTGTCACAGGTCTTCGTCCACCGTCAAACGTGCCGTAATTACGAATACGACGAGCTCGTTCGTGATCGCTTAGCTCTTCGTAGAATCTGAAACATTTTGCATGAAAAGAAAAAAGATAGCATTGCGCTCGTTGTTTTGTATTTCTTAGAAATTTTAAGCATCTACTAGACGAGCTTGCTCAAGTTCCTCTTCTCAAATCAGGCAAAACACCCTTCGCAACCCGTCCTCAATTAACTCTTGAGTAAGCCCGAAGGAATAGTGAAAATAACCTTCCATGTAGGCTAGAAGAAAATAACTTTCTGCTGTAGATTTGTTCCCTCACTACAACTCTACGAATATGAAGCCCAGCTACAATCCCAGATGTTCGGGTAAGGCAACAAAAAGAGCTCACAAAATTTTAAACGACTAGAAAATTGATAGAGTAAATTATGAAAAACCTACGAATCTCGTACACTCAGACGTAGTAATAAGAAGACGGGTAAGCTGAGTAGAAGCTGAAAACACAAGGATTGGCCGTGTTCCAAACAATGAAATCGATCAGTAGTAGAAAACGAGGTAAAATTCCCAAGAAGCAGCTGGGATTTCAGAAAATCGATTGATTACTCAGCGAAATTCTCATCAATTAGTAACTACATGTAAAAGTAACTAGTAACTTGTAACTGGCCCTACTGGGGAAACCACCAGAAATCCGCAGCAGATATGCACAAAAACAATGGCGAATAATATTGTTCCGATTCTAGAGCGATATGGGCCTATGTATAAGGGATAATAGTAGTAATGACAGCAAAGCCCAAATGTTGATGGTCGGCTGGAATCGGCTTGGGAACCGGTCGGGCAATGTCCCCATATCATTGCGACACTTTGACACATACAGTAATTCCGCAAACCAGCAAATAGCCACGAAATAGGAAAATGTCAAGGCCAACTAGTTGCCCAAATGAATTTTACAAATACAAAAAACGGCGAAAGTGGGCCATGATAAGGGAAGACGCTAGCAAAATTGCTATCGTTACAACCGAATCTCTAATCTAACTTTAGAACAAAGCTCAGTTCTAAACTTCATTTCCACTGGGTTCCTACCGCTCGTGGATTCATCTGAGTAAAAGAATACCGACAGGTGCATCTGCTAGACCGTACAGACAATAATACAGACCAGTTACCTAATCAAAGAGAAGAAGATTAATTAGAGATTTCAGACCAGAAACAAGAAGCACGGCGCATCACAGCAAGACATTGAGCGAAGCTAATCACTTCATACTTCGTACCTACACTATTCTAATCACTCCTTTGCACGAGAAAAAAGTCCGGCAAACTAGTAATCCGACAGAAATACTACCTGACCATGATGCTACCAAAAAAGAAAAGCGACCGTGTAGGAACGCGGCGGAGCACTGCTATCGAAAAATCTATCTGTTCCAAGGACAACAACTGTAAAAAGCTTCAGCGACTTCACTTCTGCCCTTGACAAACGATTTATGTGATACTGTAAAACGAATTGACAAAAACAACGGTTCATAGGCATATTTCACGGGAACCACGTTAACCATAAGTTTTGTAGGCAACTGCAGTACTTACGTGACTATTCCTTACCCCGTCCCAATGCCTCCTTTTAATTTATTAATTGGAGAAGAGCGAATGATTATGTCATGGTTTCCAGAGATCCGATGGCGGGCAGCGATATGTTGAAAAATACCCCAAAGAGTAGACAGTAATAGCAAAAGAAACGCCTCGCTCCCGAGCATTTAGCGCTGTTCCTCAACTCGACATAACCCTGTTGTTGACCTGTCCTGGTAGCTCGTTAAGAGGACTGTTCAACTCAGCTGATCACGAAATGGGCTCTTGAACTCCCATTAGCTTAACAAAACAACAATATAAAAATTTACTCAAATCACCTCGGAGGTTTCCGAATGCAAAGAACGCCAGGGTCAAAAGACTTGAGTAGCTCATTGTACCTACTTGCTTCAGTCGTGATATGTTTTTAATTTCTTTTCGAAATAGTTGTAGTCAAACAACATTCTAGCACACTGAAGAGTCTGGAACTAATTGATGAGAACTCAGGTAAAGAGAAAAGCTAGAAAAGTAAGGGGAAAATCGTGACCGCAAAGTCGATTCGCCAGTGAAGAGTAAGTAATTTTTGCATTTTCACTTTGCATTTAATTATTTAAAGTGAACAAATCCCTTTATAAAATGACAGAAACTGTTGTAATACATAGAATACTTGGGAGTAGTTTAGTATTTAGATTACAAAATGGGTTTTTGTAGGGCTGAGACTTCGTTAGATTAGAAAAAGCTCGAGCTCCTGTCTAATCTGTTGTATCTAGCCCCTACTAGAGAAGTCCTGATAAATGAAGAATCGACCTTAGATGACAGGCAAAGGAAATCAGAAGAAGCGAAATATTTTTGAATGCAGAAAATGGCAAAAAATGTCGACGGCATTCAATAAGGACTCCGGCATAACCCATGTATTCGATTTCGAGTCAGAATGATAGCGGTTAACAAATAATAGGGACAGAAGAGCAGCCTCCTCTTCAGCAAAGACTTATGCCTAGAGCTGCCGAGACGATAAGCTGTGAGAAAAGCTGGGCCAAAGATCTCTCAGCTCATTCAAAGGGCATTTCAAGAGAAGAAACGTGTGATAAGACGGCAGAAATACCGTGAAAGTGTTTTCGCGAGATGATCACGATGGTTTTTGCGCTAGCGAAACGCAAACATTCGTCTCTATGAAGAAAACACACAAACAGTACGACGCTGTCGCAGCTTGGTCACTGAGTCACTGGGAATTCTTAGTTGAGCACGAACCATCTCAATTGAAGGGTATGTCGCCGGAAAAGACAATGTTCGAGAGAGTTTATATATGGTTATGATCCGTTGAAGCATTATGGCGAACACCCATTCAACATCCCGGGTTCCCATTCCTCTTCTCCTAACATATCATTGGGCGCCACACTGAAATTTATCGGAAACCTGATCGCAATTGAAAGTGCTTAGCATTTATAACAAATTTTCGAGGGCAATGAATTTGAATCGGTCTCTTACGTATTCAGATCTCTTCCCATTCAATTTTTCCATACTGTACAAATGACTGCCTGACATGAGGTTGGTGTAGAGGCAAGTGGCGCGTTATCACACATGCACCGTCTGGAGATTGTAACCCGGATCGATATTCATCTGAGCTATCCACTCCTTCCATTCGACCGGGGCTGGTCAATTGATCCAGACTCATCTGAGAAGGCAAAAGCACAAATTCCTACGTCGGTTAGCCGCAGAAAGTCGTCGCATGGCTTACATACCATTCAAAAGCTACTACGTTTCCAAAACGAAGTCGGATGCGGGGCACATCCCAACAATAATATTGACTAACGCCAGAAACTTGCCATTTAAGTTTACACAACATAGCGTCACAAACATGGATCTACAATTCATGAAGACAATGGCACGCCTTTCATCACTTCCCTCTGCACACTGGGTGGAAGGCGCATTAGGGAATAGCTAAATCCAAATTGCAGATACCAGGAATGGAAACTAATGACAACTGCGGGCATGTTTCTTAAAAATATGCCTACAGTAACGTCAGCTGCTCGAAAGCAGAAATTGCCATGAATCAGATTCCGCGCGTATCACCAAAAATCTGAGCACAAAAAACCACTGCGATCTCCGATCATTTTATAAGTTCCGAATGTTCTTTAAAAGAACACCGTGGCATACTTCTTGTTGACATGATCACTTTTTTGTTTACATTGACCATTGATCATTGACTGTTGAGAGCTAGAGGAGGTAAAAACGTCACATAACTGATAGGCCCTAGACTGCAGCACTTATCTAATTTAAGAAAAACGGTCATTAAAACGATTAATGAAGGTACAGCCAGAAATGTTCCAAAAAACTTCATGGATTGAAATCTGCCTTACATCAAGTTGGTACGGGAAAAATTTTCCAAGTAGGATGAAGATCCCTCCTGCATCCTAACCGTCCTAATCGTCGCGATCAAAGAAGACGGAGTAGCTATCCATAATCAAGCTCTAGAGCCTCATAGAGGCACTCATAGAGGATAGCAGCTTGCTTATGCAATCTGACCACCTAGAAGGACAGCACTCAGAAAACTCACCCATCACCAAAAGAAGAGTTATATGATCTTATACAGGGAAAACTTTTCCAGTTAAATTATTCGCAGTGTCCCGGTCACAGCGAAATATTGATGGGCGTGTTTGACGGTACGTTTTTCCCATTTCAAGGGCATAATCATGGTCTGAGGGAGATATTCCTCACCTGATACGACCGTAATGCTCGGTCAACTAAATCCCATTTGTCGAGTTATTATCTTTTCCGTTATCCTGACACCACCTAACAAAAATCGTTCAGGGAGGCAAATGGATCAATTCGACTATGGACCGTCCCCATAAATCACTGCGTAGACCCAGAACGACCCCGCACATCCAACAATTTTGGGAGATATCGAATCACGAGAATATCCTGAACGATAGGGTACTGCCTTTAAAACTATGACTAGAACGACGAGAAAGTCAAACCAGACGAAGCTTCAGAAGGCGAACAACATCAAAATCAATCTGAACTCTGCGTCTCCTATGGAAGGGGAGAGGACGGTTGAACCGAGCGGGTCTGTCGGCTGATTGTTCAGATGCTGTCCGAGTCACTCACTTTTTGATGTTATCGTTCGATCAATTCATCGGGGACCCCATCTTCCTCGGCGGTGAGGAACTGTAGATGAAGGGCAAGGCCATAGAGGTGAGTAAAGTACTTCATCAATGAAATGAGACCAAATTGAAATGAGATGAATCGTGATTCACGGGATGCCACATCGGAACCGATAGTGACTACCTATTGAATGAGTCACATTGACAACTATTTCCTTCCGTCAGAGAGATACACATCACTAAGCAGATCAATTTTTTTGAGAAATGAAAAGTAAAATACAGTACTCTGGTACACAGCTGCCAGCAAGAATCCCAATCCTGATATAAAGTTCCCAGTTCCAACCTAAAAAAGCAGACACAGCTGCATCTGAATGAAAGGAGCAGATGAGAGGAATAGCAGATAGAAAGAAAAGTGGAGGAAATGCAAAATGTTAGTCGCGCTATATTATAGCTATTAAAAGGGAGCTGGAAAGCCAAGCTGAGCAGAAAATTGTTGTCAATCGATCCTTCGCTTCCTCCAATTAGAAGCCGATAAACTTCAGTGAAAAAGAAATTTCTTGCCAAGAACATTGCCATAACCCATCAAACCCAGATGGGAGGAGGGGATTTGGAGAAAAACTATTAAAAACTCGTACGAGACGTCAGAAAGTGTCGAATAGCAGAGAAAATTCGACTCAATACTATATGAGGATTCCACCATTGTTCCACTGCACCTTTCGACCCACTCCTTGGGCATCTTGCTATCAGATCGATCCCATTCAATCCGCTTGATCCGAGATCATTGAAATTCCAAACAGATACTGCCCTCGGACTTTCGCTCCTTTAGCCTCATCACTTGGTTCGGAGATGAAGCCAGTTTTCAAGCACTGATGTTGTTCATTCAACACCTTTTTCATCATCCCTACCTCTCACCACTCGACTACAATACCCCCACTTCAAAGGAAGCTTATATTACAGATTTATACAAGATGCATGTGTTTGGAGTCCTTCATATGGGATAGCTATTAAATCCAGATAGGAAGGAGATCTCAAGGGATTCTGAAACGATACACATGCAACATCAGAAAACGCTATAACGGTCATCCTCTCCTAACTAAGAAGTCTGTTGAAGATTTACGATTACGACTCCACATCTGTGAGAGCGGTTTTATCAACGACTATCAAAACGCATTCGCATCAGCATAACTTGAACCTGATGAAACTTGCACTTTTGGCTAATATTACGGAATTCAATAGAAATCACAAAACTTGATAGTCAAGAAGTTCTAAGAGAAAAGAGGAATTTTGAACAGATAATCAAAGATTCAGAATTGTCTTGAATAGTGCTTTATGGAGTCAGCTCAGTCAGAAGTGCCAATGGAATCGAGGTATTATACATCAGTGCACAATACGAACTTATCATGCACGTAGTTTAATCCTGAATGCCAAACACGTTGCACCGTCAAGGTCAAACGATTGCCCTCACAAAGGTGCGAACGTTAAGAAAAATGCCAAAATGGCCCCGGCAGTAAAACGCCGCCGCCTACCGAAATTTCAACTTTTAACAAGATGGCTATGCCAGTTGCTGAAATTTAAAACTCTGCCCACAGTCTACAGTCTACATTCTACCGTAAACCGTATGTGTATTTTATACGGTGCGTTATCCTAGAAGCTCTTAGTTTTGCTAACTACAAAGGAAACATCAAAGGAGGTGGACGATATCTGATAAGTAGTGTTATCAGTGCAGAAATGGCTAGGGATCAAGTTTCGAGCAAACCCTGGTAGTCAAAGGAGTGCACCTCTACAGGATTCACCACTGATCGGGAAAGGAAATACAAGTAAGAAGCTATAGAAGCTACTACAAATGGATGTTAGGACTCTACCCAATTCCTTTGCGATACCAAACCCTGAACCCACGAGTGACGCGCCTTACTCCATTTAGGCATGATTGGACTGAGTTCAGGGAGAGTTCGTGGAACCAAATACTCAAGCCAAAGTCGTGGGGATAAGCGCAAAGTGTGGGACTCGTATTTGATCAGACGTAAGCATCGATCTGTGGGAAATGCGTTCAAAAGGACGTGGCTTACGTGAGTCACCACCGCGTCGGCACGGAATTAGCAATGACTCGTAGAACGCGTAACCCTTATGCGTAATACATAACATTTTCACAACCACCATGGCGATTCTACCCTGGATGCCGAAGTAGCGGAAGAAAACGATTTAGGATGTATTCAGGGACCCCCAGTCTAGGATTCACATGGAGGTGAATTGATCAGACAGAGTGAAACTGGGCACTGGGCACTACTGGGCACTACTGGCGTGAACGACTATACACAGAGCATGCTGTTGCTTATCTACAGAAGCAAAAGGCAAACACTTGCATGGTCAGACCATGAACAAACTAACTCGTCCAGCCCTTTGCATAGTCGATTGTGCACATTACCCATCGTAAGACAGGGTAAATGAGGCATAAAAGAATTGCTGCACTGGCTGAAGGAGTAAAAGGAGGGGGGATAGTTTTTATCACCTTGTCGTCAAACCGATTCTTGTCGATTCGGCAATGGCATCTTTCATAGCCCACGACCGGTCGCTAGCGACTGGCGATCGATCGCGCGACTGGTCGCGCGACCGGTCATGGACTATGAAAGATGCCAGTGATATTACCTACTACTTCGCTTGACAAAATGAGAATTGACCTCGGCCCTAGCTCCACCCTTATAAGCAAGAATGCATGTAATGCAGTTGGATTTCGTAAAATCCAAAGAAGTCCATCATGGTAGCATATAATCTAAAGAAAGGAGTAGCCCGCATTTTGAATGAACCCAATGGAACCGTGAAGCTTCTATGATGAATGCGAGTATGAACCTTGAAAATTTGAACAGCAAATGGTTTCAAAAACGTGCAGGAGATCAGTAGACCCCTCGTTCAACTGAGATCTCACAAAGAGTTCATCATACTACTGTAATACTATAATACTTACTTTCACTGAAAGTGTCACGAATCCTGCCAACATGTTCTCGGCAATCACGAAGCCAATCATCTTCATCCAATCGGGCAATTGAAGTTCTTTCGCTGTTACGTTCATACTGCACGCGTACTGTGTGAGTAGGAGGAACTAAAAAGAGTGAAATAGAAGTCAAATTCCATACTTACTGCTATTTGTACTCTCTCATATAGGTCCTGTGAAATAAAGATTAAGAGTTACAAAAGCTCTGAGAAGAAGTACAGTCTATTTAGCAAAATAAATAGGGAGTAAACTAATATTTAATAAATTGTGAAAAAATTAGAAAGACATACTCAGAAACTCTACTTCTACTTATACTTCCTGGTAATGTAGAATACACGAACTTGTTTGTGGTTGATGCTAGTAGTACACATCAAAAAACAATTCATGTGTCATAAGGTTTTATTCGAAGGGCGTGACTTTTGAGGTGGGTGGGATCAGCTGGGTATGACGGAGCTGCAACCTTGCCTTTTTCTAGGATGTACAACTTTTTACCGGAGACACTTCAAAATTTTGTTCAACATGATTGTCTTTTGAAGCAGTGACTATTAATTGCAGAAAAACCTCCGTTCATGAAAATGTCTCATTTTCTAGGCTTCTGACAAACCTCAACATATATGGTCAGCGTTGGCGCCATCGCGAATGAGGCCTTGCGAGAGTCCTTGAACATCCACAGAATGCACGATATTACAAGCAGAATTAGGCCGAAAATCGAATGATACAACAGGGCCCATACCTGGAAGGATTACATCGAATACAACAACAAATTCCTACTTTCAAAGTTCAGCAATCAAAGGGCACAAATCACGCTTACTGCGTGGGGGAGCGGTCTGGGCAGACTCGTGCTCTCGTTGAATAGCAGTGAGTATGTAGTGTATTGAATAGGTGTTTGTGATCCGCCTAGACCGTTTCACCCTCCGCATGGCTTTCATCTTCAACAACAAACAAGTCCATCACTGACCATCAAAGAAAGCAGCACAAATGCATAGGAATGGTAGAGGATGAACGTGATGATCGCAATCATTCCTTGAGAAGCGGCAGCTGCGGTCTCGCTGTTCTTTGGCCCTGAAAAAACAGTACAATAAAAATGTAGGGCAGTTTTCCAGAACGGAATGAGTCGTGCAGTCGACATCCACTCTAAATTGCAGAAGTAACTGAGAGTGCATTGTAAAGGCTCCATCTAGGAGAACTTGTGAAACCATCCGATGTTTAGTTTCGCACTTTACAATACATGCACACTGTCAAATCTAAGGGCAACCTATAAAAGCCTCAGACTTGAAGAGATGACTCGGCCAGTTTTATCCCTCAGGAATCATTTGGCCTCTCCAATCACTTCACTTCGGGACCCTACGGTAACAGTTGTAATCGCTGAATTTACTCACCAAAAATCTGCTCAATTTTCTGACGATCCACTACCTGAGAGGTAACTTTTTGTAGTGGAATTGCCTGTCCCGGTGATCCATCCTCTTCAGGGCTCAGTAGCTGAAAACAAGGAATATAGCAATAGGTGTGAGACTTCTGGGATAGCACAGCTTTACTACAACATTACTTGACTATCAAGGAGTATGACTATTACGCAGGACGACATCAAACTATCACAAAACACAAATCAAACGATATAACACTCGANCCATCCGATGTTTAGTTTCGCACTTTACAATACATGCACACTGACAAATCTAAGGGCAACTTATAAAAGCCTCAGACTTGAAGTCATGGCTCAACCAGTTTTATCCCTCAGGAATCATTTGGCACTCTCCAATCACTTCACTATCGGGACCCTACGATAACAGTTGTAATCGCTGAATTTACTCACCAAAAATCTGCTCAATTTTCTGACGATCCACTACCTGAGAGGTAACTTTTTGTAGTGGAATTGCTTGTCCGGGGGATCCATCCTCTTCAGGGCTCAGTAGCTGAAAACAAGGAATATAGCAATAGGTATGAGACTTTTGGGATAGCACAGCCTTACTACAACATTACTTAACTATCTAGGAGCACGACTATTACGAAGGACGACATCAAACTATCACAAAACACAAATCAAACGATATAACACTCGACTTTAGACAGCACGTACATCTAACATTCAGGCAATGATTAAAAATGAAACCATGAGCCCAAAAAAAACAGCACTGCCAAGTTAGCTTTCCGAAGCCATCAAAAAGGTACATCCGATTGCCTATTCTACGGGATGCATTAGTCAGAATTTAGGACGCAAATCTCAGCTCCCACCTACGCTGAAGAAAACAAGCCCGAAAGGAATTTCTAGAATTTAATGAGATTTGCGTCCTTTACCGATCTACCTGACTATTAGACTAAGAAAATGATTATACAAAGTTACCGGTCGACTGCCAGATGGACCAGTGTCAGATCTGTCTGTGGTCCCAGCATCAACACGTTCATCTTCCTCACTCAGTCTCTGAAGTCACACAAAAGAAAACTGTTTTTAAGCCATTCATAACTCGCCTACAGTGTCGAAGTATCGATCAGAACATTAGTTGTTTATCGGGAAATAATGCAAATTACAACGAAAAACAGAATTCTGATCGTGACCTCATCCCGACTGCTAGATAAAATACAGAGTTGTACTAGATGTGCTGAAAGTAATAGAACTCGCATACTTCATGGTCAAGAGAGAGCTTTGAAACCAATAATCAGAGTCAGAACTATGAGGGATTGCAAAGGAATCTAAAAAAGTTCACTACATTTCCAAATTGCCATAATAATTGAGTCGATTGAACAAACCCAGCTATCCCTGGTTCAACCTAAAGCATAACGGAGTTGGGGTAGTGACAAACGTTGCCACAGCTACGGTCAGGGGATCAAAACCAACATTGGCCAAGCAAGCTATCTACCCCTTCAGGGTCGATCATTTAGTGTGAGACGTTTTGTAAGAAAAATCATAATATTGTACATCGAACAGCCCTTTTATAGACCAATCAATGAGCACAACGATTGCAACTTGAAATCGAAGTGTGAGTGCGTTCCAAAATGGGAGTGAGCAACGCTTAGAAACTTTTTCTTCGATTGAAACATCTATGAGAACTCATTTGCGTCTATACACAACTGGTCTGCTTGCTGTGTAAGTTAATTCTGATCGATGAACGTTATGGTATCTTTGACAAAACATTCACAGCATTACTGTCGGTAGTGGTCCCATGAAGTGTACGAGTTTTCCCACCTCCAGCACACCCTGTACAATGAGAGACATAAAAGCATGCTACAGAATAGAGTCATGCCAAAGCGTAGAGGCATCAATAAACTCAAAGTATGAAGTTTAATTGGTCGGAATGTGCGGAGTTTTACGTGTTCGGATTTAGTGGAGCAAGCTGAGCTTCTAAGTAGTAGAGAACCAAGATCCTAAAAAGACGTTTCATCCTCGAACCCCGGAGCCAAATCCTTTCCCATAGCACTTCCTCCATATCCGCTTATAACTTCAGAAATCTGGATTTGTTGCTTGGGCAATCAAATATTTCTCAGCTAAGAGAAGCGCCTAGTAAGCAAATTGAAAAGGTCAAGAATAAATTCATTTCTATTTATTGACCACCGAAAACGCTTTTAAGCAATTCTATAAAGCGAAGGAAAGTCAGGATTCAGGCTCGTCCCGTTCTCCAAACAAAAACGTGTACTATTGTTAGAGCCGAATCAATAATAAATTTCAATTACCACCTAATCGATGGCATCGTTAGTGAACATAATCTGAGCCATTTTCAACATGCCACAAGAAGAAGTGCTTACATTTCTCCGTGAACGTTGCCAACCAGTGAGCTGCAACTGAAAAGGTGTCTTAGAAAACGGGAAACCACCTCATTCTCAAAAACTGAACGAAAGCTTGCGTCACGCTTTACATCCTACAAAGGGGGGAGGGGGGAATAATGAATAATGAAGTTCGATTAAATTCACTACGTTGGCGACAACATAATTGTTATCTCCAACAGGAATAGAGCATAAACACAACTTCAGAGACAGAATAAATTACGAACATGGAAAAAGTTCCAGTCCATTCTGACCGAAGAACCGCGGTCTTAGGGGGCTCTTATAAGAACTACGAAGAATACAAGAATTCTTATAAGAATAAGAAGTTTTTTTTTCTAAGTTTCAGCCGTTCCTATCAACAAGCAACAAAAAGGTGGAAACAGATAACAGTATGCTAGTAGGACGACTAACAAAACTACATGCACTAAAATCATGCAAAATACATGCGTCAATTGAGTTCTCCCATTGAATTCAACTTCACTCACGACACTGTTAAAGCGTAAGCAGAGAAAAGGTTAGTAAGGACAAAGACGGTACGTATTTGGAAGGTGAAACGGTCGAACTAACCTCCTCGTGTACCGAAGAACTACCATCGTTGTCATCAACGTAGCTCCGACTTCCATCATAGGTCCAGAGTAATTGCAACATGAGAACATGGTAGAATACCTAGGTAGGACAACTTCAGCTACCATATTGACCTCACAAAAATCTGATTCCCAAAGTGGCAGAGTTTCGTGAACGATGTGTAACAGTTGAGCATGCGTTTGCGTTGCATCGTCTTCCCCCTCTTAGTGTTAAACGCGCCCAAATCCAGGGTGCGATGTTCTTGTTAGGTGTCGCCTTCTCCTTCTATCTGCGAATTTTCCTGTCATTACCTTGGCTTCGAAGAGATCTTGTCGATAACGTTCCTGCTCCTTTCCTTTCTTGGAGCTTCTCGTAGTCGCTTCATTACAGTTTTGAGTCCCATTGCATCTTTTATTGCTGAGCTCGTGTTCTAGCTGCTCATGGCCACACCGTCTAGGTGTTGTTCCCTCATCTTCATCGCAGGCCATCTCAACATCATCGTTCTCGCAGAGTGAGGTTGTCNACTGGTCAGCACTCACTGCTGTGGAGCATCCTGGGTCTTACCTCTGCTTTGCCAACTTGTCCTTCATGCTTTACGGAGTATCGTCGACTGCGCTCTATACTACCTGTACAATATACTTAGCCCTTCGCAACCGGGACCCAATCCCCCGTAAACTGAACACCATTCCTGTTTATTATCAGGAATCGATGAGTGCTCGAAATAAACTCACAGACTCTGAATAAAGTAAAAAAGAACCTAAAAACACATTCCTTACCAATAAAATTATTGGATTGATGTATGCAGGCGTTTGCAGAGTGGTGTTCAGCCAAAATGTCCACCATCGTTGGCAGTCGTTCAGGAAAATGGGAGAAAGACCCACAACCCTGAGTTCGACTCTATTTTACTTAAAATTCAATTTTAAATTCAAATAACAACTAACCTTGCTATGATAGATTTGCCTGGCAGAGATTTCTGGACGATTGGTATTTGATAGACATAAATCATCAAAATATGAAGCGCAGCGAAGAACAGAAGAAACTGTAACGGAACGAAATCAAAAATTGAAAAAAATCCGGAGCAGAAAACGACATCACCCTACCTTTTTGATTCTGTTGTAAGCTTGATGTCGTAATGGTTTATAAAGTGCCCACCAGCTGGCTACAAAGAGAAATGCCGCAAAATAAGTGCAATTGAGAAGCGATGGCTGAAATTTTTGTTTTGAAAATCTTCCGAAAGTCGGCTGCCAGCAAATACAGCAGGTCAGGACTGGGTACTGAATGAGTGTTAACACCTACCTGTACACAACCAACAAGAGCCGACAAGAAGATTATGGCAAAGTTTGAGAATCGCTTCAACGCCATTACTATCGACGATGGCCCACTACTTGTACCGTTCGGTAAGCTGAATAAATCACTTCTAACAGCATTCAAAACAACAACAACATATGATGGGTTCACATTTCTGCAGCTTCCATTTCCTGCCTTTGCCAACGAAATGGCTTATGTGCGGATTTTATCAAATTTGCACAATATTTCGAAGTGCAATAAAAAAGAAAATAAATAGAACAGATTTTTATTGGTCCCCGGGTACGGTAGAATCAAAAGTTCAAAAGTCAGAATATCCGAGCCATACTTTATCCTGTAGATTTCTAAATGAAGGGCAACAAAAAATCAGGTGTGCCCTGCGTTAATTTTCACTGGATTACCTTAGGGCTTTTCTGCAAAGCATGGGCCCAATCATTGGTTTCGAATATGTATTCAGCCTCTTTCCGCCATTACCTTCCCATGCAATATTGGTAAACGCTCACCCCTCATTTGGCATTCGTACTGGTCGTACTGGGCCAACAACTTCGAGGTTTTGGGTGCGATGAGAGAAGAGCGAAACCATGACTGCTGTAGCAGCTGATGCAAGAACTGCAACGATCTCTGGTAGGATAGATTTCGCCGACTCAAAGCCATCACCATTATGGAACCTGAATTTATACAAATAGAAAACTTACATTGCTGCGAGCAAAATTCAAAATTTGACACGAAAATAAGAAAAAGTTAGCGAAGAACACAACCTTGACTTTTTACTTTGGAATGCGCCATGCGGTCGAATACTAAGGGAAATGGACAATAACATATAGAACATCTTATTGACCTGTGGTCTAACGGGATTCTTCGAGTCTAACAAATGCCACGGGACGCCTAGAGCTCCCACAGGAATGGGATGAAGACTCATCCAGCAGCAGGTGGGAATACAAAGTCATTAAGAACAGTATTATTCCCGTCCTTAATGAAGATTTCTACAACAGTATTGAACTTAGGATCACTCTAGGCGCGCCTTTTATCGGAGGATCATCTAGCTACTTCCTAACTCTTGAAAGGCCCCTCTCTCCCCCCACACTTAGCCGGGCGCTTGACGGTTTTCGTCTTCCAGAGCTGGAGTACTCTAAAGAATCTCAAAGGAAACTAATGCATGGCGCATACCAATAGGTAACAATGACGATTACTTTGCTGTTAACCTACCTTATCAAGCCACTATACCGTAACCACTGCATATCCGTATCATTACACCGTTTGATGTAATCTTTTTCATTGGGCATCGTTACAGCTGAGTAAGTTTGGTATACTACCATAGCAATGGTGGCCAGCATAGAATACAGGAAGCAGGTCCATGTGTAGAGATGTATGCTTACTTGAAATAATTTATATTAGCCTTTATTTTCTACGAGACAAAAAAATTTAATAGAATTATATACATATTAGGGACAAAATAAAAAAAACAACATCTGATGCACGACTTCAGGGAAAAAAACAAAAACGTGCCCTTTACCCCTCGGAAGGCACATATCGTAAAATCTGGTCTTATTCAAAAATCAGTCCTCAAGAAAAGAAAATTACAAAAAATCATAAAGCTCTACCTGGAAGGGGAAGAGCTGCGTGAATGGATGGTAGTAGTGGACTGATTAGAGCAAATATTACATAGACAATTGAGATAAAGCATGGTCGTATAAAAGCAGCTGAAAGTACAGTTATTCTTCGCAAATGTAAAAACGTATCCCGATAAGTGATCAGTCCGAAATTTGAAGAAAAAATCAAAAATGCAATTAACCGAGCCATTCACGAAACGCGCCCAACGTATGTTTAAGCAAGAGAAAACCCATACATCTTATGTGCATTCTTCGCCCTTCCGTATTCTACCTAGAAAAACAGCTTCTGAGCCCTGTTTTTGATACCGTACACTCGATATCCCATATGTTTCCTTTTAATACATCATTAGAAGATGTTCTACACGAAGGCAGTCGTCGAGCGAGGCCCTTCCTGGCTCTACTCGCTCGCTCAAATCGCCTAACAATCGTACCTGTAGCGTAGCATCAACATGGTTAGGGGGACGAGTTCGAACGTCAGTTCTGACTAGGACTAACTATCACAACATTCACCCGATATCGCCAACCGTTCCATTTCCATCCAGAATCGTAGTGACGAATTGAATGCGTACGAGGCTATACATTGGCTTGAGGTGGTCAGTCGATGCAGAAGTCACTGCTTTTATCCACCCAGACAAATCTGGTATCAATTGACCGAACCCGGAGGGATGGAGGGCTTGATTGGCTTAGGCGAATATCGATCCAGGATTAACACCCGTGACGATACGTGTGTGAAGTGCGCCACTTGCCACTGCACCACCTCCGCCCAAAACAGGTAGGTGGTGCTGAAAAAGCTGATCCATGTCTGCTCACAATGGCAACAAGCAAAACCAACTAGAAATTCAAAACCGTTCCTGCACACATTTCGACAACAGGCAAAATGGGTCAAAAGAAAAACAAAAATCAAAATCAAAAATCAATCAAATTAAAAATCATCAAAAACAATATGTCACTATGGTCAAAAACATCTGTAATGACGGCTCTTTCAGGAAGAAGAAGAGAGTGGGTCCTGTACTGCAGAGACATCCACGCTGCATTTTGCTGGAACAGATTTTGGAACAATATCCCCAGCAATTTCTAAAAACTCGACTCTTTCGCGGTTAGAAACGGAACTGTTCCAACCGACTTTTAGAGACACTTTGAACCTACAGAACATCCTATTCATGTCTTTTTATAATGTAAATTTGAATCTCAGCAGTGACCTTATTTTTGTTCCCGTGAATGCCTTTCCTGGGTAAGAAGAGAATTATTTAATGTCCATCGCTTATTGAGCATCGAACCATTTGAGGGTCATATCCAGTCGTAGGAACACTACCAAAAAAACTCCGGAACATAGGTCATTGCCACCAAATAATCGCTCATGCATTCCACAGTGAATAAAAAGAGAGCTCACCAAAAAGAAGAGAAACCGGCAAGATTCCTCGGTAGAAAACAGACTTCACGAATGGTGGGACCACCATGATTGGTATTCGAGTCGATAAGTTTCAGCTAGGATCTACACCTCGTCTGTGCATCCCAATCGTTTCACCTGCAAGAGGGAGCTGCTATTTCAAAGTTTTCCGCTTGGCTTACACTAAATGTTTCCGAGTAAACAATGAATCATATATGTACACGTGTATATACACAAGTAGACCTCCAGGGAGGAAGGCATAGCACAGACAAGACATGCTCTACTTGAGTTCGGCGGTTCAAATAAGAAAATCAATCTGTTTATACACAGAAAGGTAAAAATTACAAAACGGTTGAAGGTAGATGATTGAGGAATTGTTGAGAAAGAGATATCATCAAGGACGTTATAAAAGTGGCCCTTTCCTAGGCAACAAAGAAGCAGAAAAGTAATAGCAAATAAAACTAATTGGTAAGCCAAAAAAGTGAGCCGAACCCGATAAAAATGTAAAATAGGAAGTTAGAGAAATCGTGTCTGCCTCCAAAAAGTAAACATGGAAACAGGCGGGAGTGAAAGAAGTCAATGGTTAGACTGATTCCCTCTGCCCTACATATGTATGTCAGTCCATTCATACTACCCTCCTCAGGGTGATCCACGATCCCATGGCGTCACCTATCAACTCTGCGACAACCAAGCTCGTCCAAATGCAAGAATAAAATGAAAAACGTTAGTAGAGGTCTGAAAATATGCATGAAAACCATGGAAGACTTTTGCATGCTAGGCGACAAAACAGGGAAGATTGAATAGTGAATGAAGAAAAATCTGGCAGAATTTGACACCAAGAAAGTTATAAAACAAAGAGCTCGGAGAGCTATAGATCTCTGAATAGGCTTTTTCCACCAAAAGTACGTTATTAGCAAAGTGATTCGTCGATCACATCGTAATAGCCATTTGGCATGAGCAAAAAAACGTCGAACGGAACAGTTGGCTGACGATGGAACACATCCCCCCGCGATCTTCCACCTTGCAGATAGATGAAATACAAAGACATGATACTCAGAAGAATTACAGTGCAAATAGATGTAGCCAAAGTTGATTCGAGTACAAAAAGAGCGGTCGATAAGTAAAACATTCCGTCTGTGTTATAAGAGTCAACTCTTCTATTCAATATCGAAGCTCTATGCAAAGCTATTGAACAGAACACAGATCACGTTAAAAAAATTTTAATAGGGTTTTCTGGTAGACGACAAAAGGGCAATACTGATTGCAAGACGTAAGCGTAAAGTGGCCAACATCTGGAGACACGGAGTTTTTATTGCACACGTGTCGGATCGTTACATACTAGCCTCACACTCCTACCTCCCATAATCATATTTCTGTTTTTTCTGTAAAATTCTACAGCGAACATTCAATCCAACATCAGTAATAATAAATAAAACGCCAGATGCTAGCCATTTCTTTAGAGAGTGGAGGCCCGATTCCGATAGGGCGAATTCAGACGGAAAAGGGTCAGCACCATCTAAGAAACTTTATTAGGCTGGTCCTTGGCCACCTTTAGAGTCCGAGTTGGATTAAAAAACGATTTATGAATATCCGATTAAACAAAAATATACAGAAGGAAAGAATGCTTCTCAATTACGGGGCAGCTGAGGTCTCATATAAGTTGGCCTTTGTACAGTAATCTCGATGAAGACCAAGCCCATTTGACACCGATCCCACTATGGTTGTTGGATGATTTCAAGGAATCCAAGAGTCTACTGTGAGTGACCTTTTTCTGATGACGTACGTGCCCCGGGTGTTTCGAGCTCCACTGGGGCCGTGTAGATGTTTGATCTAATATTCGCGAACTGCTCCTGATTATTTCAGGGATCTGAATAAGCGACGCCGACTTTTTTCTTTTTTTGAAACTACGAAAAATGTGAAAATCATTATGGTCCCATACCAACATCGAAAAAAGTTTTGCACAGAAGCCGAAATAATGCACTGCTAATAGTTGAATGTCATACGTTATTCAAGGTAACAACCAGGTGGAAATGTTCGACAAAAAAGGAAACAGTAGAGATGGTTCGAAGATTATTCTCCGAACTAACTCTAGACAACAGCTCATTAGCCTAAGAATAATATTGCAGATTATAAGTTAACACATATAATTTACGTACAAATTCAATCTGAAAAACTAGAAAAAACAACAAAATTGTAGTCCTCACAGGACCTAACAGTTAAACCTCTGACCTTGGGATTACTATCATAACTAGAAAAATCTGAACTTTCCTTGAAATGTATGCAAAGCTTGGAGCTTGAACACTCCATATTTAAAACCTTTTCAAACAAAAAGCTGAATACCACAATTAATACACTGAGATATGATCCTTTACTGACCCTTGGAACACTGTTTCTATTTACTGGTCTTCAGAGAGGCCAGTTATTACGGTTTTTGAAAGTGCAGCAAATTCTTCAGCAATCTGGCCTATTCGATAGAGGAGGAAGGCTGTGCATAGAAGAAAGAAAAATTATCGAACTCCGCAAATGGCACGATCGTCAATCATGACTCCTTTGAAAGCCGGAGTAGAAGAACTACATAAGGACTACCCAGTCTAGCCAAAAATGAGATTTACTGACCGGAGTTCAGAAAGATTCTCGAAGAAAAAGATAGTATCAGTTGCTGAGTAGTATCTGTTGCTATCTGTTTCTAACGAGGCTAAGGCTTTTTCCAGACCACCAGCCCTTCACCGCACTGACAGCCGCAGATAAGATAAAAATGCTGTTAATTGACTTTTTCTTGTCCGAGTCCACCCACATCAGACACACGTTTTTTTGGAAGCTTCCATTGAGAAACAGTGCAAAGCACGTTCTCAGAAAATGATCCGGATAAAAAAAAAGTAAAAACAATTTTCGGCAGTCACACATGGAAAGCTAGAAGCAACAGAACCTTTTTCATATACCTGGCCATTTTTTTCCAGACTTCCGGCCCTGGTACACTAAATCGTACCAGGGCCGGAAGTCTGGAAAAAAATCGCGAAGATGGGAATTAGTGGCATGCTCAGAATGCGAAACTTACGTCAAGTAGGCCACTTATCCCTATTTTATAATCAGACGCCTGTCGTACCACAAGGCTCGAGTGGATGACTCTGACGGGTATAAAATCGAGACCCGCCTTTTTTGTTTTAATGTTACGGTGGCGAATGCTATTTAAAGACAGAAAAAGCAGAACTTCAAAGGCGATGAAAACTTCCGAGCATCACAAGCGTTGTCTCTTGGAAAAATTAAAGCAATAACAATAATAACAATACTATTAGTTAAACAGGATGGACAGCTGCCTATACACAAAGTGGATCGATGTTGACGCCTGAATGATTCATGCATCGATTTTATGACCTCATAGCATTTTGCATAAGAGCACAGAAGTAAATAGATCCTGAAGAAGGGCACTGACTCATTTCAACTCTTAAAAATATCCCATTTTACAGCAGTAAATCCAGTAAACCAAGGTACCAGACTCAAATTTCAACTGTTCCAAGTACTCGTCAAACACTCGAGACGAAAATTTGACGAAAAACAGTCCGATCCATCAAAACTCTCGAAAATATCTACTTCAGCGAAAATCTCAGTACAAGTCGCAGGATATGTAGGAAAACACATACGTAGCTGATATTCAAGAACTCTGCCTCCCACCATAAAACCATGTTGGCTTGTCCTTGGTATGAGTCACACAAAAAGGATCGGGAGACTGATGTTTGAGCTTACGTTGCCCGTTCTCTCCTCCTTTATCATTCGCTCTAACTTTAGCCATGCAAGCCTCAGATTCC